AAAAGAAAAGAAAAGAAAAGAAAAGAAAAGAAAAGAAAAGAAAAGAAAAGAAAAGGGTTCTCCTTTAGGATCAGTGGCCTCACTAGCCCTGGATAGCTGGCATGGTTTTGCTCCTGTTGACCAGGTATTCAGTCTAATTAAACAGCTGTTGGTTACCTCTAGGACAGCAATGCCACTGTTGCACCTTTAGGGCTCTCTTGGCAAGCCGGGCCTTGCTGTGGTTCACAGGCACCACATCCAGGTAGGACTGCTGGTGGCTTCCCTCCCGTGGCAGCTTGCACAGCACCTGCCTGTACTGCAAAAGAACTTTCTTCTGAGGTAGTAAGTTTGTGTTCCGTCGGCAGATTTTTTAAATTTTGCTTGGTCTCCTTGGGTTGGCAGCGGAAGAGTCATGACTTGGGGCTGTATAATTTGTCCTGGCTGACTTTGCTAACTCCAGCATCATTCCTTTTGTCAGATATGGCCTCAAGGTGGACATCTGGGCAGCCGGTGTGATCACTTACATCCTGCTGTGCGGTTTCCCTCCGTTCCGTGGGTATGGGCAGCAATCCTTTATTCAGCTCTAACAAGTCATTTCTCTGCTCTCTGAATGATCCATTTGCCCTGCTTGCACAAAGGCGTCTGTCGCAGCGGGGAGTGTAATAAGAATCCCACTTGCGAGTCTCATTCTTTTTTCCATGTTGCATGCTAATTTACATGCATACCATAAATCTTCCTCACGCCGTCTTTAACCTCATTCTTTGTTAATTTACCCAAACAATTGCCTACTGACATTTTCAGTGGCTTAGACAAAAAAAGCATACTTTGCACGTTGAAGGGGCGTGTGATGAGCTGGCACCCAGCTCCGCTTTCTCTTGTTCGTCTACGCAGGAGTGGGGATGACCAAGAGGTGCTTTTTGATCAGATCTTGATGGGCCAAGTGGACTTCCCACCTCCGTACTGGGACAACGTGTCAGATTCTGCTAAGGTAGGGGGATCATCGCTGCCCTGTTCCCTGGAGCCTGGTGCGTTAGTGGAAGAGTTGACTCTAAACCAGCATGTACTAACAGACCAGTGATAAAATGTGACTCCAGGACATCACGGACATCAGGGCCACCATCTTGCTGTCACGCTCCAGTCTCATTTGGGCACAGAATTGTTGTTTTCCCTGCATGGTTCCTCTCAAGGAAGCCACCTCTGGCCCCTGGTGCCAGTTATAGCTCTTGACTTTTCCTGTCTCACCTTGTCCTCCTTGCCTTGTCATTCTTCTCTACTTTACTGGTTTTTTTGTACAACATGTGTTCTTAGTCTCAAAAATAGAACTTAAACTCTCACTTCCACCCTCTCTGTCATATAACTGTCCATCTATAGCCACATATATACAGCCACATATATAAGCCACATAAACATATACAGATAGGAGATCGAATCCTACTTAGGCAATTGATTTCCAGGCTCTCCCCCTAGAATGCAAATTCTGTGAAGGCTAGGAGTTTTGTCCATTTATGAAAATGTTTTGTAGGCATTTGTGTGTTTGCCTCAGACTAGAGTAGCAGGGGGTTTCTAACCACCTGATATGAGTGCTGGGCCCCGAACCCAGGTCCTCTGCGAGAGCAGCAAATGCTCTTGAGCACTGAGCTATCCCTCCAGCCCCTGATTTTTGCCCATTTAGTTCGCTGTCACATCAACAATTCTGACATCACAACCAGTAAACAACCAGTGGTCCTGTGTGGTCAATAAACCAGAGAGGTTTATAAATAAGTGAATCAAGCGACTGATTGATCAGAGGGAAGAGAGTCCAGCCTCAACCTCTGTTTGAAATGACCAAAAAGGATGCCATAGAGATGTCATTATTCGAGTCCAACCTCCTAGGGTGCCTGGGGTTCAGAGGCAGGAGCGGCGGACCTCGGGCTTCTTCACCCTACTAACCCAAGATCGGCTCCTCTGATGGAGGGCGAGGCATGTACATTTTTCACAGCAAGTGAAAGTACAGAAATGACATCAAACTGGATGTGGAAAGTAAGCAGAGTGGAAACTTTATGCATAGTTAACAAATTTTAAAACAATACACCTGCATCTAAGAGAATGAATAATTTCAGCTGGTATATTGGTAGATCCCAGGGGGGACAATTTTGTCTCTTTCAAATGTCTATAGATTGAACAGTGCTGCTCTGGAACCCCACAATCCAAAGACAATAAGATGTGAAACTTGGGTGTCAATACATCTCATTCCAAATGGGAAAGTTCTGCACCCATGACAGGTTGGAGTCAAATACAAGCAGGCTGAAAATACTAGGAAAGGGGTTTCTCAGGATATTCCTATAAAGTGCATTGGAAACGATTAAATTTTGTGTTCCAATTTGTTTTTCCATCCTCAAGATACCATTATGTGACTGCAAATATTGCAAAATTTAAACGAAAATTTAAAATCAGAAAGCTGTTTTGAGTAAAAGACATTCAGGCTATTTTGTGTTCATGCGTGCTGACTCACAGTCTCCAAAATTCAGTGTGGAGAATTTGGTCATGTTCTGGTCATTCAGTGCTTATGGCTTTTTCTCTCTCCTGAATCAGAGTTCAATTTAAAAACTCTGTTTAGACAGGAGCTTATGTACATAAAATGACGCTTGCTGGACACGGGCCTCTCATCTTCTTCAACCATGTCCACCTTTGGACTCAGGGAGATATCAGGAGTTGAGAGAAGTGTAAGAGAAAGGCCCCAAGGTGAGGGAACTGAGGGCCAGGCAAAGACAGTCTCCTATATAAATATAGTCTCACTATGTAGCCCAGGCTAGCCTTGAATACTCTTGCCTCCGACTGCCACGTACAGGGATTCAGATCACAGGAATCCCATAGAGCCCAAAAAGACCTGGATAACATGTGTCTACCCATTCATAATCTGAAGTGGGCAGATGCGTGACAAAGTCATTGTGCCCCCTAACGCTGTACCTCCAAAAAAACTGTTTGTTTGTTTGTTTTTACTTTATCAACTAGCTTTTTGGCATGTCATCCTTCATTCATTTTCTATAGCCTTAAACATGCTGCCTGGAAATCCAGATAAGGACCCATTTCTTTGTCTGGCAAAACAGAAACTTCAAGTATTTTTTAAAAGATTTTACTTATTTTTATTTCATACATGTGTGTGTTTTGCCTGCATGTGTGCATACGTGTCTCATGAGTACAGCACCTGCAGAGCCCAGAAGAGGGCGTCACATCCCCTGGAACTGGAGTTACAGGTTGTGAGCCACCATGTGGGTGCTGGGAATTGAACCCGGTCCTCTGGAAGAGTAGTCAGTGCTCTTAACCCCTGAGCCATTTTCTAGCCCCAAAGTTGTTCTTTGTTTTTTTATGTGACATCTATGCAACTATGAAATCTGACTTAAAAGTATTACATCCTAGTAAAAGGTTATTGTCTAACATGAGTAATTTCTTTGCTTCTAAAACTATTTTATTTTTACGTAATTTACATAAATATTTATTTCATTTTATTTTTCCATCAACTAAGCTGTATAAAAGTTCACGGTCTAACGTTTGAAAGTGTGATCCAGCTAGTCATGGGTAAGTGGGGTGACATGATTTAGATTGTGAGCTTTTCCAAACTGAGATTGCAATCCTGAATTTGCAAACCCCCAGCTTCTCCCTCCAGGGTTGGATAAATGGAGTCTAATATTCCCCTTCGCAGGAACTCATCAACATGATGCTGTTGGTTAACGTGGACCAGAGATTTTCAGCCTTGCAGGTCCTTGAGCATCCCTGGGTTAATGTAAGTGACCTTCTTTCTCTGTAGCCACTGCCGCCGGCGCCCCTTTAAAACTGCACCTGCAGATTTCCTAGTGGCACCGCCTCTTCCTTGCAGTGCATTTGGCTTGGTTCCCCACCCTGAGGTCACCCATGTATTCCATGGAGGCCTCTGATGTGCCCATCTTACTGGCTTTCTGAATAACTGCCTTCCAACGGGAGGCAACGGGGAGGTCGATGTGGGTGTGGTCCTGATCCTCCAATGGCTCAGCAGCTCTCTGTGGTGAGATGCAGGCTGGGTAACAGCCACTGAGATGGGACAGCTGCTCTCAGTCAGTTTCCACATCAGAGTACAAGGAACCAAGGTTTTCTGCTTGCGCCCGAGAGCTCAGCTCAGCACCATGCAAGCCTGAGTGTGCCCACAGCACCTGGTGGCCTCCTTAAAATGAGCTTCTCGGGTGACAGCTTAGAGTTGTGTTCCCAAGATCTTGAATGATGGCCTGTAGCAGCCCTTTGAGGTCTACTGGTCGCTTTTCAGCAATAAAAGCGTCCTCTAGAAAAGTCACTAATTTTTTCACCCTCTATCTCTCTACAAATGATTAGTGAGACAATTCTGATAGGTAATGATGCTTAATATTCATAAAGGGCATAAGTTCCGGAGTCGGTGGCAGTGTTTTAAGCACTCTGTGCATATTAATTGATCACGTCTGTCCCCACCACTTGGTAACTTTCTAACCCAGTCACCATGCAGTCCCCACTGGCAGATGGGGAAGCTCCATGATTTGGTTGGATGATTCTTGGTGCCAGCGTAGAAGACAGATACAGGTATGTGTGCAGAAACAGACACGACACTCCCAGAACCATTAGTTCCCTGACAGACTCTGCCAGCCTCCCCACTGCTCCACTGGGTGTAGCTCTAGGTTGAAGACCAAGAAAAACTTTCCCTTCCCGTTCCCCTTCTCTGAAGTGTCACCTGGGCAAATGGTCACATGGTTCCTTTCTAAAATCGTTAGGGAGAACAAGGCGTGGATGGGAAGTACTCTCAACTGGCGAGGTGGCGTGCAGGGTGGCGCATGCTCGGGACCTCACTGAAGCAGGATCCACTGATGATCGTGGGCCAGCGGGCTAGTACTTCCCATGTTTACACACCATGAAGTTGTCTTTATATAACAGGAGAATATTCATGAATATGAGCATGAAGGGGTGTGAACCAAGGTTTCTTTCTGGCCTTTTCCCCCAGCAGAGTCTCTCAAATGTGCATGTGTGAGGGTACTCACCTCCTCATCCCTGAGGCAGTGAGACACGACAACTCCCACTCACTCAACCTCACGCTGAGCTCCACATCAGGATGCTAAGTCAAAATTCTCTTTTACTATAGAGTAGGAAGGTTGTGACAGTGTCCTGCTTGAGCCTGGTAACAAGCCTATAGGATAGGCAGTGTGATAGTGAGTTATTGTACCCACTTCACAGACAAGAAGACTGAAGCCACACAATATGGTTTTCCCCCAAGTAGCCACACTTGGAATTGAAACCGAATTTATAGCCAGGCATCCCACGCTACAAGATCAAAGTCTGGAGAGTCCAGCATACCATGCTCTATCTCTGCCCTTGTTTTAAGTGGAAACCCTGGAAATCCAGAAGAATGTCATATGGGCCCTGACCTCATGGTAATGTTACCTCAATTCAGTGCCCTCAGCACAAGCATCTGCCCCCCTCAGCTGCCTTACACATAGCTCCTCCCACAAGCCCTGTGTCTGACCACTCCATTCCGCAGTTCTGAGCCTCTGGACATTTGAATTCCTGCTTCATTTCAGTTTTTCTCTAAGATTCTTAAAAAGCAACAACAGCAACAACAACAACAATAAACAAACCTTTTAAAAAGCAAAATATAGTATCTAGGTTTAAAATAAGACAAAGTAAATTTGACATTCTGATGAGGGGAAACCACATGTGATTTTAGAGAAACCTTTTTAAAAATCTGGTGTAGAAAGTGCTGGCTTCACACTGATACTATCTTTATGCGGCAGCTAAGTCAGAAACCGCTTGTTTTGTTTGCTTCCAAATAACAAATTTGCCCAGTAAGCTTTGGCCGCCGGTGCTTAGCCTAGTAAAGGTCAGCACGCAAAAGACCAAGCCATCAAAATAAATGAATTAGGGGCTTAAAGGGATATAAATTTAACAAGACATTTTGCATTTGGCAATCAGATTATATCTGGCTACCACGGAAAGCCTCTCCCTAAGGGGACTAAAAATATTGATAGTCGTGTAAGCCCCTTGGGTGTCCTGCGCTCTCATTCGTTCTGGTGTTCTGTATTGCTTATACGACGACCTTCTACGTGGTCCACTTGGAATCGAAAAGGTGATTTCTTTTGAAATGAAAAGTAGAGCAGAAAGGCAGTAGGGGAGAAAAAGGAGTCAGCAAAAGTCACTTATTTTAACCTTCATCCAGGAGCATCCTTGAAGCAAGTCCGAGTTTCTTTTTTACTAGACTCTGGTTACCAACTCTACCTTGCTCCTCATTGTCTTTGACCTGAAGTGTCATGGGTGATGAATGGCTTATCAGGTGGGTCCCGGGAGCCACATGAAAAAGGTATTCTTGATATAAAACCTCTTGTGTGAGAGAGAGAGAGGAACAGAAGCCTATTCGCCTATGTAACTTCAGGCAAGCTTGTTTCTCTCCCAAACCTCTTTCCTGCCAGAGGAAGTAGGTCAGGGGGAAATAAAATCGATTTGTCTACCTCTTGGGATGTGTAAAGGTGAAAAACTGACTAACTGAAGCTCAAAGTCTTGGATACTTAGTAAATGTTTGTTGAATTTGATATAGGTAAAGCCAGGGACTGTATCATCTGTTGTCACACAATGACACAAGGAAAATCGTATTGTGTGTTAGTATGTGGGTGGCTGAATTAAGGAAGAAAACCCATCACCCCCCCACACACACACCAAATGATGCTGTTTGAAAGACACAAGTTCCTCCCCAGTGAGGTGCACAACAGCCCTATTGATGCTGGCTTTAGTACAGTTGCAAAGTGCCAATAGGAACTGCCACAGCCAGGCTCATTCACCACATCATCCTTCTTTTGTAGAGTCACGTGACATAGGCAGGCAGCCGTGTACCTAACAGGACTAGGAGATAGCGTACCTTGCTCATCCTAGGAATAAGGGGCTGACATGAGACACTTCCTCTGAAATAAGGATTTTTTTTTTTAAAGTAGTGCATCTTGGGGGAAAGTTCAGACAACCAGACACTTCCAAAACCAAACCTCTTATTTGTAATTAGGATCTAATGAGCATTATGTTTAATTTTATGTACCGCCTTGCTTTTTGTTGTTGTTGTTGTTGTTAGCCTGTGTTATTTTCCAAACACTCTCCTGTAGCATAATTAATAAAAACCCAGAGACAGAAATTGGAGTTCAACCTGAAGGTCAGGAAAGCAAAACATCCGGCCACTGGCTCTTACCTTTACCTCAGTCTGTAATGGTCATCTTGGCTCCAGGAATCTCAGAATGAGACTGTGTCTGAGAGCTGTCTCCTCCCACCTTATATTCCTCTCTAGGGCTGGTTTTAAAGGCGTGCGCCACTACCACCCAGCTTCTATGGCAAGCTAGTGTGGCTACTGGGATTAACAGTGTGTGTCACCACTGCCTAGTCTGTAGAGCTGACCAGTGGGACTGTCTTTCTCTCAGATCTTTAGGCAAGCTTTATTTATTAAAATACAAATGAAATAGCGCTACGCTCTCCGATACTGTAATTTTATTAATTTACATTTTTCTTCATTGTTTTACTGAGTTCAGTGGTGAATAAACTAAGACACAAAGACACCGAAGCCTGAAGCTCCACGGAGTCTCATGCAGGTCTGAAACTGGGCTTTGCCCTTCTAGGTTCTGGTTTCATTGCTCTGTCACTGTGTCTGAGCATGGAGGCTTCTCAGGGCTCCCGTGTGATTGTGGTGCCAAGGCAGCTTTCAGACTCTGTTCTAACGGAAAGACTGGTCTAAATAAGGCAAGCAAGTCTAGAGCCAAGCTGAGACTTCTTGTTTCTTTCTAGCCTTTAAATTTAATCTTGCTTTCTTTATCTTACCTAATTATTCCTTTGGAAAGATAGTGCTGAGCCATTACACTCGAAAAGAAAAGAAAAGAGAAAGAAGGAAGGAGAGAAAGAAAGAAAGAAAGAAAGAAAGAAAGAAAGAAAGAAAGAAAGAAAGAGGGAGGGAGGGAGGGAGGGAGAAAAAGAGGAAGGAAGATGAAAGAAAGAAAGGAAGGAAGAAAGAAAGAGGGAGGGAGGAAAGGAGGAAGGAAAACAAAAGAAAGAAAGAAAGAAAGAAAGAAAGAAAGAAAGAAAGAAAGAAAGAATAAGGGAGAGAAGAAGGAAGCCTAAATGGTATCTTAAGCCAGCCCATGCACCCATTCTGACTGATAGAATCCAACCACAGGCACACAAGAGTACAGATACATGTCCCTTATTGTGCCGGTGGGATGGGTGATAAGTTAATGAACTCCAGTGACATTGTAATTAAATGTAAAATTACTTATCTATATTCATAAATTACAAATGATGACATGAAAAGTTGCTTCCATTTGAGCATTTTCTTTCCATATACGAAGCGCAGTGTGAACTACAGACTCAAGGAATGCTGAAGCCTGGAAGTACCGGGCAGGGGTAGTGTGAGGCTGGGGATGTTAACGAGAATGGTGGGGGTATCGCCCTTGGAGGTAAAGAGCAGTTATTGTAGAACATGCTAATGAACTGGCATTGTTTTAAGCTAAATCGGAATACCTTCATAGTAAACTATTCAAGGCTGCCCTGCTTCTCATAAATCTACAGGTATTTTTAATAATAGAGTCTGGCAATAAATGGACTAGAAACCAGATCCCTGAATCAAGCCCAAAAAGCCATGGGGGAAGGCAGCTTTTCTAATGCGTGACCCTGATGTGCCTCCCCAGGAAAGCGGAATTCACCCTACCGAGTGACTTCACATCCGAGCTCCCCCCTCTCCCCACACCACAGCTCTTCCTAAGCAGCCCTGGGAGAATGCAGACCAGGAGGTTAGCTTTCCGGCAGACAGCTGGGAGAGTTCATTTTCCATTTTGCAAACTAATTTTGTTCTTGTCAGTTGCGATGTCCTGCCAAGTGGTGGATGGGAGTTTCTAAATCAAAAACCGCTAGCCTTAAACCACAGCCAGCCTGAATCCAACTTCAGGAACGGCTCCCAAACCAGAGCGTATGGTAATAATACTGCAGCTATTTGTAAAATACTGCCAGGTTTGTCACATCTAGAAAATTCATAGCACATTTTTGGCACATAATCTATTCTAAGTAATAGTGATAAAGATGTATATATAAAAATACATGTTTTTAGTGAGTCCTATTTATTGCACCGATGCAAGGCAGAAAGTTAGCTAACTCCTGCCATCAATCTCTACGGCTGGAGTATCCATCAGAGCCCTGAAAATCCAATTGTTTATGTCTTTTAATTCTTCAAAATTTATCAAGAAATGCTACAGTCTATTGTTTGCTGTGTATGTGTGTGTATGTGTGTGTATGAGCTGGTGGGTGAGCATGTGTGAGAGTGTGTGTGTGTGTGTGAACATGTGAGTATGTTTGTGTGTGTGTGTGTGTGTGTGTGTGTGTGAGAGAGAGAGAGAGAGAGAGAGAGAGAGAGCTTGTGTTTTAATATGTGAGTGTATTGTGAGTGGTGTGTGCATGTGTGTGTGTGAGAGAGAGAGAGAGCTTGTGGGTGAGCATGTCTGAGAGTGTGTGTGTGTGAACATGTGAGTATGTTTGTGTGTGTGTGAGCTTGTGTTTTAATATGTGAGTGTATTGTGAGTGGTATATGCATGTGTGTGTGTGTATGTGTGTGTGTGTGTGTGTGTGTGTGTGCCTGTGACCTCCTAGAGTTGAGTCACCTTATTTAATTGCAGATATGTTCTAAAATTTATTAAATCCAAGATATCGCTGGTGCCCTGTGAGAGTCATCTGGTCCATTCCCCTGCCTCCTTGTCAACTGATGAACTAGCCCCAGGGAAGCGCAAACCTTCACTGAAATTTAAGGCTGCGAGCTTGAATTTCTAAGCCTCAGAAACTCAGAAGAGTCACTGAAAGATTTGATAGGAGAGTCGGATCAGAGTCAGGGTGGAAAATGAGGAGGAAGTCAAAGGCAGGACGGTGGGAGCAAAGCCTTTCCTCAAGAACCTGCTTGGGAGAGAGGCTGGTGAGGGGAAATGGGCAAAGGTGAGGGTCCAGAGGCGGGACGAATCTGTCTACAGAGTGAGCGATGGTTCTACCTACTGAAGCTCTTTTGCCTTTCTCGTTTGCACTGAAGCTATTACCACAACCCGCGTCAGTAAGGCCCACACTCTCAGCAATGCACCGCTTCCCTTTCATGCAAGGTCAGCCAGGCCCTTCTGGTACTATCCAGTCTGTCCTACAACCCTAGAGCCCTGGCCCTATTAGATGGGTTTTCCGTGTCAGAGATGAAAAGATGCCTCATCCTCATTTAACGGAGAAGTTTCTAACAATGTCCTGGAGGAACATTTTCCTGCCATACTCACCACTACTCTCATTGGCCTCTAGATTCTCCTCAGGCTCCACTAAGGCCTAAGTATCCTCTGGTTCCTTCTCCCCGACCAAACTCACTGTTGACCTCATGGCTATTCGCTGAATATTTGCACTTAGCTAACTTGGAGTCTAGGTACACAGGACTCCATGAGAGTGGATGTCCTCTTGATGTAGTGTGCTTTGGTAGAAAGAACAGTTCAGACATGGTTCACTTTTGACTTAACCTTGAGCAAATGATATCACCTTTATGAGCCTCAGTTTGTCCATCTTCAAATGGGACTGATAATGGTTATTGTGGGTACTAGTGGGTACTAGTCTAAGGATAAAGGGAGTTAGGTATGTGTTGTTAGCATACGGCCACCAATAATTAGCTCTTTCTTTCCCTTCCTCTGCCTGCCTTTTCCTGGTAACGTACCTCCCCTACACTTAAACAAAGACCTTGTCTGTTCTGTCCTGGTCTCAGCTTAGCTGGGAGAAAGACATGGTCCTTCTTGCGAAGTTCCTTTTGCTTCCGCCTTCCACACGTGTTCTTCACTGCTCCGCTCTCAGCTCTCCTTTCTCCTCTAACTTATCCTAAGACAACAATCGGACTCAAGTTTCTTTGACCTAAATTTGCTTCCCCAGCAGTTTCTCATCTTACTTCATAGTCATTAGGTCATTGGTCATTGGTCAAAGGTCATTATCAATCTCTTTCCCTGAGGTGTCCTGGAACTACAGGACATGGGTAGCATATATCTGTAACATGGCCAGTGAAGTACAACAGGACCCACTATGCATCTCTGTATGAGAGGGGTCCCTTGAATTCAAGAAGAACCCCCAACTGGGCCAGAGGCATAATGCTAACATTGGTAAGACTTTCCATTTCTTTCCATGCCTTGTGAAATATGTAAATAATCTCTCAAAAAAAAAAAAAAACAACTTAGATTCTAAGGGTGGTTGACTGTCTTAAATGTCAGGTACCACTTTCATAATACAACATCGGGGTGGCGTTTATATACACCCCTGCATTTGCCCCATGTTTAAAAGTCTGGGCCACATATCTGTTATCCCCATCCAGCTGCATGGAGTCACAAACTAGATAGTGGACGACCTAGAGGTCTGAGTAGGTGACTACTCATTGCCCACGTGTCTTCCATGACATCGGTCTTTTTAAAAAGCATTGCTGGGGGCTGGAGAGATGGCTCAGTGGTTAGAAGTACTTTCTGCTCCTGCAGAGGACCTGGGTGCAGTTCCCAGCCTCCACTTGGCAGCTAATAGCCATTTGTTGTTCCATATCTAGTTCCTGGGAAATCTGATGCCCTCTTCTGGCCTCTACAGGCACTGCACCCACGTGGTGCACTTAAATACACACATCCTTCCCTCTGCACTGTTGGAAACGCTTCTTCCAGAATGTGTCCAGCCCCCCTAAAAAAAAAAAACCTAGACATATTAGTTAATTCCTTCTTCTGACCATTAATCCTACTGTGAACCTACCATGAATACTTACTGTGAACGGGTCAGAGAGTCAGGTGCTTGCATGAATGATTGCAGAAAACTAGGAATAGGTAGTTCAACATGGCAATAACGGACAGGTGAATGCATGGATAACAGTGGGTCATGGACAGATATGATATGGTAGACTAATAAGATAGCTTGATACCAGAAAGTGCAAGTACATGAGCAAACTGACAAAATAAAAAGATATTGGGGACCTAACACAAAGCCATTGGAATGGATTGTGTTTAAATGAGGACAATGTCTTAGAACAGGTTATGTGAACTTAAGTCTTCAAGTAAAGGAGAGACCAGAGTCCCAAAGAACGGGTTCCATTCGTATTATCTCTTACGTGTAGCTAATATCCGCTGGATAAATGAATGACCAGTGCTGAGAGGAGGAGCAGGGCCTGTGTTCAGACAGCAGTTCCTTCATCAAGGACGTGTGTGGTGCTTGGGGAACGGCAGATTTTCTTTTCTGGACAGAAACAAGAAAAGATGTGCAAAGTGGTGAAGGGGAAAGGAAAACACTAAGGACTGGAAACGAACATCTCTCCCAGGGTTGGGTTTTACCAGACAGTGAGACACACCCTATTGTCCCTCCATTCATCTCTATTCCATAATTATCTATTAAATGTGTCACATATGTCCAGGCACTGTGCTCAGACCTGGGGATCCAACTGCGAGCAAAAATACAGTCCCACCATTCAAGGATCATGCGACCTTTTGTCGTGAGCCAGTAAGTGACGCGCACTGACAGCCCTGGTCACTGTTGGCCCCGGAGAGGGGTGTGTTCAGTGGAGAGCAGAAGCCTTAGCAGAAAGGAGCGTGAGCAGGGGCTGTGTCCTGAGGACAGAGTCCAAACAACAGATGACATGAAGGCAGTCGGGAGGATTTAAAGCTTAGGGAAGAACTGTCTGCCTAGAGGGCTGTCTGGGGTTTTAAGGTGACTAATTGATATCTATGGGGGAGAAATAAGTTTATTTATGGCCACACACGCGACCAGGTCCTTAGCTTCGGATCTGAATCCTGGGCTATGAGGGAGAGAATGACGTGCTGGGTCTGGGAGTTTTGAGGTGGCGATATTAACTTGTCCTTGAACATACATCCATGGGGCTAAGGTTGAAAATAGATTTTATTAGAAACCGAAGTCAGAATATGTTGGTTTTGGAGACAAACCTCCGAGGGTCTGATGGTGTAGGGCCAGCAGTTAAAACACAGACAGAAAGGAAGACAGTGGCGGGGTCCTTTAATGCCAGCCTCAAGAGAAAGCCTTGGCTGACTGGTCTCTGACCTCTTCCGGTTCTGAGATCCTGACCTGGGACTCAGATTGCGACCTCACTTCCGTGTATCTCATTTTTCCTTTTATGTTTTCTTTTTCTTTGTTTCTCCCCCTTTTTTTTTTATCCTCCAGGATGATGGTCTCCCAGAAAATGAGCATCAGCTGTCAGTAGCTGGCAAGATCAAGAAGCATTTCAACACGGGCCCCAAGCCGAACAGCACAGCAGCCGGAGTTTCCGTCGTAGCAGTAAGCATCTGAAATACCTAACCGCCCCTGCCTTTTCAAAGCAGCCCACCCGAGAGACAGGCATTCCTTGTGAGGTTCCTCCCGGAGACAGCATAGTGGGTCATTTCTTCAGACAGCAGGGGAGGTGGTGTGTGTGTGTGGAGTGTCTCCCTGAGTGCCTCATTATCCCACACCTCCAGGGGATCTGGCAGCATCTATTAATTTCATGATTTATTTTTTTTAAGGGAAAAAAAGCCCTCTCCCCCAAACTGGACTCTGTGCCAGTGTAAACTTCTTGGCTCTCAGGTAAAGCCTTCAGTGTCCTTTAGGTAGGAACTGCACAGGAAGGAGAGCTAGGAGGGAGACAACGGGGCAGAGTCCTGAGCAGCGTAGACATTTGTACTAAATCTAGGGGAAAGGCGAAGCAGCAGAAAGCAAGCACAGTGATTTTCAGAGAGACTGGATTGTGGGCAACACCCAGTGACGTCACAAGATCTTGCTCCTTAGGAATTTGTTAAGTTGACATCTTTTATCATGTGCCATTTTAGCTGATGAGTTTGCACTGAATTTTTTTTTTCCTGTTCTACACATGCGGGCATACACTATACGTAATTTGATAGCCTCTCTAACAAAGATTAAATTGGTCCAGGAAATACTAAAACCTCAGACTTCCCGGTGTCAAATTCTGTGCATATATCCACATCTCAGATCACTTGAGTTTATCACAGTTTCCTCTCTAGCCAGACTATGTCCATTTTAGGGATACACTCCCCGTGAGAGTCGCTCAGGCTGTGCCCCTTTTCTCCACCAAGAATTTAGGGTGATAGCAAGTCTTGGGAGAGTATTCATGCTGTGGACAGCCCGACTGCTCAGCTCACGAGCAGGGTTCCTGGTTAGTCCTCTCTGTGGGTGTTTCAGCGTTCTGCTTTTCTTTTCGGTTTTGAACTTGCTAGAGTGCCAAAGCTAAGACTCGGGTAGGGACCGTTACCTGTCTGGAGGGACTTCCGGACTTTGCAGACGGCACAAAGACAAGTTTGCTCTTCTTGTTCCCGTCTCACGGTCCTCCAGGGACAGCGTGGGTGACGACAGATGACTGTCCGTGGAACGTAAACGCTGCTGGATGTTCCTCAGCAACGCTGAGGTTTTACACACTCGAGTTGCTCTTTTTGCCTCTCTTTATTTCTTTCCAAAAAAACAAACAACAACAACAAAAAAAACGCAGTGGGAAAAAAAAAATCAGCTGTCCTCTATATTTTCCAGAGCTTCAGTGTTTGTCACTAGCTAACGTCCACTAGAAATTTTTGCAAGCTACTATCTCTCGGGGTTGTGCAGTGAGACCAGAACTCTGTTTTCGTGGGTCTGGCTATTCCAAAAGATTTGGCTCCAGTGGGCCGCCATTTTGGACTGGGTGGCCAGCACCCTATCCACAAGGGTTGTTTCTCTGTTCCTTGCTGTTAAAGAGATATCTTTCCCACCTGGGTCATTTGTTTCTGTTTTTTTTTTCCCTCCATAATTTCATTTTAATCAGTCTTTGGTTAAGTTTACTTTAGCTGTTTAGTAATGGATTGTTTAAAATGTTCTGCGAGTCCTGGAATGGCTGTGGACAGAAAAGCCTGTGCGGTTTTCCAGTTAGCAAATGCTATCTATATCTTTGAGGGCAAGTTCTATTTTTATCAGACACTGATAAACTATGAAACCAAATGTTTATGAATTTATTAAATTACGAATTTGCTAAAATGCCATCAAAATATCTCCACAGAGTACCAGTTGTCACTGGTATTTTTTTTCCTAAGTATCACGACTACATCATTTTGGATGCAATTGTTCGCTTTTGCTTTGTCTTGTTACTGGCTTTTGGTTTTTGTTGTGGCTGCTGTAGTTTTGTTTCCCTTTTCTTTTTGAGACAAGGTCTCACCTGTACACCATACTGACCTAGAACTCATTATGTAGTCCACGTTGGCTTCAACCAAACTTGAAACAGCCCTCGTATCTCATCTTCCGGTGGTGTGAGGCTCTGTGCCCAGCATGAATGCTACCGTGGCAGGAGAGGTCTCAGTTTATCACTAACATACCAAGCCACAATATAAATATGAGTTACAGCGCAATAACTTGGAGTGACGCATGAATTAGACGCACATTTAAGATGCTTTAGCCATTGAACATCATTTAGGAATAGTTTGCATGTCAACCACTGTCATTCAAATTTCAAGCATCAAAAAAATGTCAATGCCAGTGTCGAAAGAAACTCACATGCCTTCTCCAGGATGCTTTTCCAACATCAGCACCTCTGCCTTCTGCAGAGATCCCTGGGAAGTAACAAGACCTGCATGGGGCAGAGCTGGGGTTTAGAAGATGGCCACTGAGCCTGCCTTGCTTTTAGCTTTCAGAATAGCATTGGCAAATTCCATACACTTGTTTCTCAAAGACTAAGTATTTGTAGCAGTTCAATCACAAGGTTAAATAATGTGAGTATTAAATAATATGCCCTTCCAAACTCTGTGTATGACCACAAAGCAATAATCCTTGGTGAGCAGGACTTCAGTGGGAGGTAAACTAAATATCTCTTATGAATAGTATAATCTATGAAGATCACTTGGCAAATTCATAATTCCGGTTTAAACCCCCCGTGATAAGAACTTCTCCAGTGATGATTTTTGTTAGATAAATTAACTGAAAAATCAGTTTCCTTGGAGCAAAATTTTCCCCTGAGCATATATGTGCTCCCAGGAGGCTACGAAACACATGCATTTTACTTTAAATTGTCTTTGTCTTGTATAGTCCTGTTCTTTTTTAATTATATGCACTCCTGGGATTTTTTTTTAAAATTAGATTGGAGTGTCAGTTTGTGGACTTTTTTTCTTTCTTTGCTCTTTCTGGAAACAGCCATTCATGCCATTGGTCTTTACATAGGACTTGCCTTTCCTTAGCCAGACATCTACCTGGCACCGAGCAACACTGACTACACAGGAGCTTATGACAAAAGAGACACAGAGTCTCACCAGACGCTCCCCGTTCACAGGTGTCGTCTTTGACATGAGCCTAGCTTAGCACGCATGCGCGGTCTGGGCCACTCTGGCTTGTCCCCGATGCCGCTTTTTCTACCCTGTTTCTCATTCCATGCGTTACTGAGAGCAAGGGAAGGGTCAAATGATGACTTCATGTGAAGGCTGCACAAGGATCCCCAACTGGCTAGGAATGTAATTACCAACTGGAGATCTTAGGGGTCATAGGGCCCTTCTGAAAGAATGGAAAATGACCTAATGTTGTTGAAGCAGGCAGCGTGGTCAGGGGGAGGATTCACGCTGTCCATAAACCGAGGTATTCTGTCCCTGAGAAGGGTTCCATTGTCCTCCACCTTTCAGATGAGTCGGACGAGTTTAAAAAAAAAATAGGGAAACAAAAGGTTATTAAAATGCAATTTATAGACATGAAATGGAATTAGAGATGACGTTTTAACGGTGGACTCCCTGAGAGCTGAGGGGGGAGGGAGACGTGATTAGATTTGCCCGGCTTGATGAAGAACCCAAGTAAGACGACACTTCCAATTTTTCCCCCATTTGTTGCTGTTTATTGTTTTAGTTGATAATTTTCCTAATGCTTTAACATTGTCCTTTTGAATTTTGTTCATGCAAATAGAGCGTTTCGGAATAATTGAACAAATCCATACTAATCAGCTAATATGAGATGCTGGGAAGCTTGGCTCAGTAGCCCTGGTGCCCTGCTCTATGACACTCTGCCTGTAGATGGCAGTAGAGAACTAGTTCCTTGCCACCCTCTTTGTGGCCTAAAATAGGCCACAAACAGCTCCTAGAGAGCAAGCGTGCTACATTTTTTTCTAAAAAGAATATAAATAAAAATAAGATGAAATAACACATTTTGAAGATTAAAATCTCACATTGCTTTCTCTGAACACTCGTACAGCCTAGTTTCTAATCAGAACTCCCAATCTTCAAGAGTGGTTTTTAGGTTAAATGCCTGGTACCCTAGTACGTTTTTGAAATGCCTTTTGTGAATTACAAGTAGAAGCTGTCAGGAGCATTGAATCAGTGAGCCACTTGAAAGGACTCCAGAGTCTCTGTTTCCAAAGCAAGGTGCATCTTGGGTGGACAGAACAGAGGCACAGGCAAGCAGAAGGACTATTTATTGTTCTCCAGATTTGGGCACTGAGGCTTTTATTCCTAGGTAGCCAAACGCTGACATATTCCATGGTATTGGAAACTTACCTGGTATTGTACTTACTTTGCCTTTTGTTAACACTGAGCACTTAATTGTTCATATATGCCTTAATGTTCAGAGAAAGCTATTTTTCATTTGACTTAATTTTTCCAGAGAAACTGTACTATGGGAATCCTTTTAGTGCAGGAATATAATCAAGAATAGCTATATTTTTGAAGATCAACCCTCTCTTAACTCTAAATGTCTGTGACATGTCCACTTTTCAACCCTCATCTTTTCTTCTTTTACCTCCTAGTTATAACGCTGTGAGTTCCAGCCTACTGGGTGTTGTTGGGGAGGGTGTCCAATCTGCGTGCTCACAGTGACTAATGCTGGTTTCGGTTTAACTGTAAAGCATTTTCTATTGTCTAAACAGAAGAGGTGTTCATAGCTTTCCAAAGTGAGGACACTGTTTAATGGATATTCAGAAACTTGTTTGACAGACTAGCTCTATCCTAACAAATTGACACATCCGAGATACTCGTGAGGGATTTGTGTTCTGTTTTGTTTTTATTTTATTTTCAATGTGCAGATGGCATTGTTAGCTAGCTGCTCGGCAGGAGAGGCCTCATCACTGTGTGTGCGTACGTATGTAGTTGATGAAGAGCTTGGACTGGAGTTTTAATTCTTGAGCACAATGTTGATCCACTGAGTTGCCCCATTTCTCTCTGCTCAGCTGGACCACGGGTTTACCATCAAGAGATCAGGGTCTTTGGACTACTACCAGCAACCAGGAATGTATTGGATAAGGTATGAGATGGTGCAGCTCAACAGTCAGTGTTTCCATGGCAACGTGCTGGCAGTCT